AATCAGTGGTAAGCACAAGCACATAGTACAGTGTCGAGGGGATCTCGTGCTTAACCTTCACACGTTTATGAGCTCACTCGACTACCTACCTCCCCCCTCAAAGAGTACGTTAAGCTTTTGGGGGAGTGACAATAAGAAACATAAAAAATGTGAAAAAGTATACTACAATATTACAATAATGCCATTGGCAATCCCCCATACAAAAGTACATGCATAGCCCACCCATGACACACTTGGACGCTGGAGTGGCGGCTGTAGGCACGGTGGTTGGCACTTGATGGCGCGGCGAAGAGAACACTTGTTACAAAGCGGCACCAAATCATCCTGCCCAGAGTCTATTTCGGATTCGGGTCGACCCGAATCAGTATATGTTGGGTCGGGTTAGACCGCATTGAACTGGTCCAAACTCGGGTCAAATTGATTTGGATTTATATTGGGTGAAGTGTATTGATTCAAGACAAAACTAAATTTAGTCAATAATTAATAGAAAATTAATGCATTAATTATAAATTATTTAATTCAAATGAAGAAAATTAAAAAAAAAAGACTAAGGAGTTAATTCTTATGTCTATAATGGTTAACCCAATGGTTATCCACAACCCAACCCAACCTAGCCCATTTAAATGGGTGGATTTGGTGATAGGTTGATCACACAACCCACCAACTAAATGGGCGGGTTGGGTTAAAAATTGCCACCCTTAGCATTGGACATGAATCAACAGTCTTATTTTCTAGGTTTGTCTTTGATCCCTGTTACTTTTCAATGTCACTTGCCATACAAGTTTTTTGAATATTTTCTTCTAAATTTGTATCAACTGTTAAGGCTGCGTTTGTTTGATATACAAATGCCGAATTAGGGTATTATGTATCCTGTTTCAAACTTATCAGCATTTATTTGACATGCAAAAAATATAATGATTAAGAGGTCAAAAATGTGTTTTCTAACATATTTGTATCTTGAGAACAAGGCATTACTGTACCCATTTTTTGATACATTTTTGTACTTTTCTGATAATTGGTGTATTTGACGAAAAGTTTAAGGCATTTAATAATATGGTCTACACTTTTCACCGATTTCAAACAAAAAGGAAGAATGCAAAAAATGGGTTACATTGTGAATTTACTTTACATTCTTGAACCAGAAAAAGGGTATTTATGCAGAATACATATTTACATTTACATCATAACCAAACACAGCCTTAATGAAAGAAAAAAAAAAAAAAAAGAAAAAAAAGAAAAACTTGTTTTAAGTCTTATTCAAACAAGTATTGGGCTTCTTGAGTTGGGTTGAGTATAGGTTGGGCTCAAGTTGGCTCATTGCACTCTGGATCTCCTAGCCACAAACCGTTTCCATATATATGCTGGTACACACAAAATACTACCGCCCAATATAGGGAACGTTTTCCCACAAATGACAAGGGGGAGATATTCTCAATGGGCGCCTGTGGTATCTTGTGGGTATGGATGTGGGAGCAATTTGTGGTTGTAGGTAGTAGATTTGAGCTTGGTCCAATATTCACTTCTGTTGTTTTTCTTATAAAAAAAAGGGTAAAATACTTGTACCTCCTTTGGGGATTTCAGTCATATACTTAGGCCTCTTAGGTTTAGATTTCTATTTGCTGAACACAAAGGCAGTGAGCAGACTGTGGAACCAACGATAACACTTTGTCACTAGTTCCCAGTCTACTTGTGACCCTTTATTTTCTGCCCTACTTTCTCATTAAGAAAAATTCCCCTATTGAGCCAACTTGCTTTTCTCAAGTCTCTATAGGTATCTGAATGGCATAAAGTGATGAGTGAAGAATTTGATGCTTCGATGAAAATGGAACTTGGACTCATTTTAAGAGTTTTGTTGTAAGAATTCTATTTTTTTAGTGAGGAAATTTGAAGAAAATTATAAATTAAAAAAGAAAAGAAAAATGGGGATTTATTGGATTAAACTTGTAAGGAAAAGTATACCAAAACATCCAATGCTGGGAAAAAGAAGGGGTCCATTTTCTTATATCCCAACTAGAAAAAGAAAAATAAAGAGAAAGGATAAAAGATGAAGGGCAATAATTGGCTTCTACTATGTTAGAGGACATGCACCCTGCCACCTTAAATTCCTAAACCCTAAATCTTTAATCCCTAATCCTAAATCTTAAACCCTAAAATTCTAAAAATTTAAACTCTAAACACTTATGCCCTAAATCCTAACACTAAATCTTAAACATTAAAATCTTAAAAATTTAAACTCTAAACACTTAAACCCTAAACCCTATGCCTCTAAACCTTAGCAATAAATCTTAAACATTAAAGTCCTAAAAATTTAAACTCTAAACACTTAAATCCTAAATCAAGAACTCTGAAATCTAAACTCTAAACCCTTAAACCCTAAACCCCTAAGGCTCTAAACTCTGGCACTAAATCTTAAACCCTAAAACCCTAAACATCTAAATCCTAAGCCTCTAAACCCTAATCCTAAATCTTAAATCCTAAACCTTAAAGTCTAATTAATAAACTCTAAACCCTTAAATCCTAACCCTAAATTCTAAATTCTAAACTCTTAAACTTTAAATCCCTAAACCCTAAAATTAGAATGTAAAATGACTATGGAAGGACACATGTCCTCCAACATGGTAGGAGCCAAGTATCTTCCAAAGGATGAAGGAGGGATAGGGGAAGAATGCAAAATAATTGAATTAACTAAAAACGAATACCCCTAGCTCATCTGAATTCCCAAGAAGTAAACCAAATTCCACAATTTCTGACTTCTCTTATCTCATTTACAGCAAGAAACAAAGCTTCTAAGATTGTGCCCAATACAGCTTCTTCCACACCATGAACACCACCGGGAGGGCCACTTGCAGCCATAACAAAGTGTTCAGGTCTCCTGCCCATGAGAATCCTACTTGCAGCCATAATACTACAACCATGCGTTGGAATCATTTCCCATATAAATACTTATATGTTGTAATTCATGGAGAGATATTTCTGATGTATCATGTGGGTGGGGAATGTGGGGCTACTGTTAAAAAAAAGTAACAAAAAACCAAAAGAGCCTGATTATTATTTTTCAGAAGACCAATCACGCTTAAATGAAAGTTCTATAATTTTTTCTTATTCTAAGATATGTAATATCAAACTGCGTTATTTCATAATTAATACATGATAACACCCAAAACTTAGACTTTTTTCACTTATTGAAAAGTAACTCATTATGCACCATCCAAATATAGTAAACGGCTACAGCAATCCGTTCCAAAAACTTCTATTTATACTCTTTATCAGCAAGGCTATTCACAAACAAATCCAATTCAACACAATTCCTGATGAAAATTGAACCTCATGGGATATAAACAAAGTAGCACTTTATAAATAAATAATTAACAGATTCAGTCTCAAAATCACAAACAGGGACCAACCAT